CTGATGCTGCTTGGCCTACTGTGTTCATCCAGCTCTACACCTTGTTATCTCAGATTCTCCAGCATCTGCAGTTCCTACAATCTCTGTATCCAAAGATAGTTGGACAAATCCATAGGAATAGCTTCTAATTATTTTCAAATAGTAGTACTGCGCAAAATAATCCAACACCAAATTACTTAATCCACCAAGTGGAAGTGGAATATAACACAGTAAGAGACAACAATATTTGAATTTAGGTCATATCTCCCTTCTTAAAGCCATTAAGTAAACCAAATGACTGCAGCAGCTCAAGAAGGCTGCTCACCATCACCTTCACAAAAGGTAATGAGGGCAACAGAGGTTGCTCCAGTCAGGGACACCATATCCCAAGAATGAATTATAATGAAAAGAAAATCAGCAAAATGAAACATTTTCTCCTTCAGGTTGGAAATGGGCTTGGATTAATACTTGCCTCGGCTGCTGATAAACTGGGTGTTCACAAGTAGAGTAAATACAAAAATGCCTTTAATTATGATATCTTTGTGCAATGATTAGAACATGTCTGGTCATGCCACTGAAAGGATTAATGAAGAGCTTAAAAGTGGGAAAATTGTCTTGTTCTAAAAATGCATATATGATATACATTGATAAGCAGTAAAATATCAAATCTTTGTGGTTAAAGGTTCTCCTTTTGTTTCAGATCCCTGTGTTAAAGATCAGGTTTTCAGTGCTGCCAAAACATAACCCAAACTGATGAATTTGGTATTTAATAAATAATAACAGAATAAGCAAAAATTAATTCAACTTCTCTTCATTTAAGAAAAAAAAACTTGAGAGATTTCAATCGTTCCACTTTAGATTTTGTTTCTACACTACTCCAGAATATGGTCTAGAATTGTTTCATAAGTATGCAAATTGTTGAAAATTGAGTTTAAAGCACAGATAATGCATTACGTCTGAACAATACTGGGCATTTCTTTTGCTTTAAACTTGCTTTCCAGTTTTTTTGTTTAAACCTATTAGGGATCTCGAAGGCGAGTCCAATGATCCTTGTTGCTTAACATTCAGGCATCAAACTTTCACTAGAAAAGATCTACAAGTACTGTACACTAAAACCAATAGCTTACTGTACTGTGATTCTATCACTGTCTTCATGTGCAGTGTCAGTCTGCAGTACAAATAGAAAATTTAAACTAGAGCTTTAAAAAGAAAATTTCACCCTCTTCAATTCTAATCAACAGCTTATTACAGATTTACTAACAAAATCTTTTTAGTGAAATTACTTCGTATATCTTTGAGCTCGATTAATCTTTTTCCAAGGTGCCACTGGCACAGTCGATAGTGTTTGAGCTCATTGGAACTGGTCCGCTCCACGTTGGCAGTGTCATTTACTCTACATACTTTTTGGAGGCTGGGGCGGTGTCAGCGGGTTAGTGGCTGCAGTGTCGGCAGCATGGATTGAGACTCCTGGCAATGGCATTAGGCCCAGAGCCTGGGCCCCTGGCGATGGCAGGCCCAGAGTGTGGATCTCCTGAGGCATCGGTGTTATTGTTACTGCTCCCGAAGCAGGACTGCTTCAGGACTGAATCACCTTCCAGACACCTTGCAGGTGGCCTAAAGTGGTGCTTGAAACCCAAATCTGATCAGAAGATGAACTCTTATTTAAGTAGTTTCTTTTTATCCTCTTGTAACTCAAAGTCGTACTGGATTGTGATGACAAAACACTTTCCACTGTATCTTCAAGATAAATATGACAATAATTTGTTCATTTAGTATTTAAAACTATTGTACACCAATAGATTTCTTGCTGTTCAGAATTAGGCCACAGGATACACATCATTGTCAGGAAGTGGTATGTCACTTTAAGTACAAAGGAGGAGTTGTTGACTAACATTATCTATTCCTTTTTGTTACAAAAAGGTTTAATTGCTATAAAAATGAATTTAGTTTCTGATTGGTGAATTAGAGTTCAAACATAGCAACAGTTTATCTGTAGATTGACACTTACTTGGTTCCTCGCAAAGCTCTGAAGAAACCAGGGAGAACGAGTGGCTTGTTGTTTAAAAAAAGAAAGAACTTGATACAGCACCCTGAACTTGAAGAAAATATGCAGTTGTGTTATGAATGCATCCCAAAACTTTGTTCAGAGGTACAATATTTAGAGGCGCTGCTATATGGTCATGGTGTTATTCTCAGCAGTAAACGCACAGTGAAGTGTGCAGAATAATATATTCAATGGGTGGGGCAGTAGAAGAGAGGAAGTAAACAAAACACAAATGGTGAACATAGAAAACAGTGTAGCCAAGAGGGTGGCCAGAGAAAATACAGTACAAGGAAAAGAAGAGTTGAGGAACCAATGTATGCAAAAACTTAAAACAAAAAAGTGCCAGAGAAAGATAGAGGCAGCAATTTGCTGGATTAATGCAAATTAAGTTAAACATAGCAAACTGTATCTATTCTAATATCTCTTTGCTTTCCAATCAAAACCTATGCAAGGTGAGGAAAAAAAACTTCAGTTTTTTCCAAATCATAGAATCTGGATAACCTGTTATTAAATGATTGAGAATGAGGCTTTCTATTCCTGGAATGAGTTACAGCATCGATTTAAGATGGAATGTTAAACTGAGGCCCTGTCTTTTCTACTTCATAAATGTGAAAGATTATATGGTACTATTGAAAAAAAACGCACAGGAGTTCTTCTGGTGTCTCAGTCAACATTTACACTCCACCAATGTGATCAAAATAGATTATCTGGTCACTCATGTCAATGCTTGAGAGAGTTTGCTGCGTATAAATTGTTGCCCCACAATATTTGTCAGTTTGTAAATCCCATTCTTCATAAGACTAGCTAAAAACAGGAGTTTGGGAATTCTAATCTCCCAGAGCAACACTTGTACATTCCATGAGTCTGGCTTCAACCCAAAAAGGTCCAGCAAAATT